AATTCCACAGGACCCACCCTTCCTTCCTTCCCTCCCTCCCTTCCCTCTCTTTTTCTCTTTCTTCCTTCCCTTTTTCTTTGTTTCCCTTTCTTTTCTTTTTCTCTTTTTCTCTTTCTTTCTTTCCTTTCTTTCTCTTTCCCTTCCTTCCTTCTTTCTTCCTTTCTTTCCTTCCTTTCTTTTCTCTCTTTCTTTTCTTTCTCTTTCCCTTCCTTCCTTCTTTCTTCCTTTCTTTCCTTCCTTTCTTTTCTCTCTTTCTTTTCTTTCTCTTTCCCTTCCTTCCTTCTCTTTCTTTCTCTCTCTCTCTTTCCCTCCCTCCCTCCCTTCTTTCTCTCATTCTCTCCTTCCTTCCCTTCCTTCCTTTCTTTCTCTTTTCTCTCTCTTTGTCTCTTTCTCTCTTTCCCTCAAGTGCAGTGGTGCAATCACGGCTAACTGCAACCTCTGTCTCCCAGGTTCAAGCGATTCTTGTGACTCAGCCTCCCGAGTAGCTGGGATTTTGGATATGTGCCACCACGCCAGGCTAATTTTGTATTTTTAGTAGAGGCAGGGTTTCACCATGTTGGCCAGGATGGTCTCGATCTCCTGACCTCATGATCCATCCACTTCGGCTTCCCAAAGTGCTGGGATTACATGCATGAGCCACCGCACCTGGCCAGGATACCATTTTCATGGAAGACACTGAATCATGCTTCCTGGAACTGGGTAACGCTCCATCTCTAGACATATTTATCAAATAAATAAACTATACTCCACTCTCCTCCTCCAAAAAAAAAAATAAAAGTTATTCCCATAGACAAAGGGTTCCTAGGCCTCCCTAGGATGATGGGCACCATGAGGTGATAAAGGTGGTCCCTTGAGGGGATCGATTTGGGGAAGTAGATACTCTGATTTGGATGTGTAAATTCCAATGATATCTACAAAAGGTATATTATTCTCTCTCTTTCTTGCTACCAAATATTAGAGGCAACTTAGAAGGCAAGGGAGATTATAAGTTAGAAAGTGAGAGTCACACAGGGGTGAGGCAGGTTTGAGGTTGAGAACAGAGAAGCAGGACATAAAGTCCAATCCACTTGCTGCACACCGAATCCCCAGATGATTTGGAGCTACCCAAGCAAGAAAGTGCAGACACGCTTGGTTACATATTTCTCAATATCTAAGAATGAACATATGGCCAGGCACGGTGGCTCACGCTGGTAATACCAGCACTTTTGGACGCAGAGGAGGGTGGATCACCTGAGGTCAGGAGTTCGAGACCAGCCTGGCCAACATGGTGAAACCCATCTCCACTGAAAATACAGAAGTTACCCAGGCATGGTGGCAGGTGCCTGTAATCCCAGCTACTTGGGAGGTTGAGGCAGGAGAGTCACTTGAACCCAGGAGGTGGAGGTTGCAGTGAGCTGAGATTGTGCCATTGCACTCCAACCTGGGGTACAGAGCGAGACTCCATCTCAAAAAAAAAAAAAAAAAGAATGAACACATTCGTTCCTTAGAAGAAACCAAAACTTTCCACTGCCTCTAGGTCTTCATGTCTCACAACAGACTCAAGGACAGCTCTGCAGTAGTGGTGGGTGAGGGGCTTCCTCTGGAGGCCCCCGATGGCACTCAGGGTCGTGCCTCTGCACTGGGACCCAGCGAGAGCCATCCCACAGTGCATCAGAGGAGACATACACTGGTGTGGCCTTCAGACAGTTCTCTGAAAACACCTCTCCAACACGGCTCCTTCTAGCCTACACCTCTTTTTGGGCAGGAATTGTCCCCAGACTTAACATACAGTGTGGGGCTGGGAAACTGGCTGGGCTGCCTCCTAGAGGCTCTTTGTAGCAGCATCTTCAAAGCTATTCCTCTCACCCTCCTCCTCAGTCACCTCTTCCTCCCTTTTCCAGTTGTCCTCCCCATACTCTCTTGGGATGATCCACTTAGTCCTATACAGAAGAATGAATTCAACAGTGTACTTTTAGGCTTAGAATTGCTGGCAAGTGAGAGAAAATTCAGAGAAACACTGTCCTAAACAAACAAAGACATTTTTCCATAATGTATAAGTCTGTCTGGGCAGTCCAGGGACGACGCTATACTCCATGGGGCAGGGACCCATGCTTCCTTTAACTCGTTCCTCTGCTGTGGATGGCTTCTGTTCCCATGTTCACTTCATGGTCCAAGAAGGCTGCTCCAGAGGCAGCCATCAGATCTGTATTCCAGCCAGGAGAAAACAGAAAAGGGAAGGAGAGCATGCCTCCTTCTCTTGACACCTTTCTGAAAGTACATGTACCACTTCTGCTCATGTGCCACTGGCAAAACCCTAATCATGTGGCTATGCACTGGCTGTAAGGGAGGCAGGGAAAGGTAATCTTTATTTTAAATAGCCATAAGCCCAACTGAAATTTAAGGAATCTCTTACTGAGAAAGAGGAAAACAGATGTGATAAGTAAACAGAAGTGTCTGCCCAGTCAGCAACTAAAGGCTTCAGCAAAACATTTCCTAATGGGAGGGATGTTCAAAATCAAACAGCAATAAGATATAATTTTACTTGCATCGGCTGGCAAAGTATAAAAGGTCCAACAACATCAAGTCATAGGAGGATGTAGAAAAATGGAAATGCTCTTAACTGCTGTTGGGAGTGTAAATTACTATAAGCCCTTTAGAGAGCAATTTGCTTGGAGCAATTGCTTACAACAATTCCTGAGAAAGTTGAAGATATTCATACCTATAATCCAAAGCTCTACTTCTAGAGAAAGCCTCACACATACACTCAAGAAGACAAGTATAAGGGCCAGGCGCGGTGGCTCACGCCTGTAATCCCAGCACTTTGGGAGACTGAGGCAGGTGGATCACCTGAGGTTGGGAGTTCAAGACCAGCCTGACATATATGGTGAAACCTCGTCTCAGAATCGCTTGATTCTGAGAGGTCGAGGCGATTCTCCCTGCCTCAGCCTCCGGAGTAGCTGGGATTATAGGCACCCGCCACCATGTCCGGCTAATTTTTGTGTTTTTTGTGTGTGTTTTTTTTGAGATGGAGTCTCGCTCTGCCGCCCAGGCTGGAGTGCAGTGGCCAGATCTCAGCTCACTGCAAGCTCCGTCTCCCGGGTTTACGCCATTCTCCTGCCTCAGCCTCCCGAGTAGCTGGGACTACAGGCGCCCGCCACCTCGCCCGGCTAGTTTTTTGTATTTTTTAGTAGAGGCAGGGTTTCACCGTGTTAGCCAGGATGGTCTCGATCTCCTAACCTCGGGATCCGCCCGCCTCGGCCTCCCAAAGTGCTGGGATTACAGGCTTGAGCCACCGCGCCCGGCCCTAATTTTTGTATTTTTAGTAGAGATAGGGTTTCAGCATGTTGGTCAGGCTGGTTGTGAACTCCTGACCTCAGGTGATTTGCCCGCTTCGGCCTCCCAAAGTGCTGGAGTTACAGGCGTGAGCCATCGCGCCTGGTCATGAGTGACTTTTAAAAAATGAAAAGACTCCATCAAATCCTCCCTGACCCCAGTTTTCTCTGTTTTGAGCTGTCGAGAAAAGTAAGATTCCAAAATTCCTATTTTTCCACCATACTGGGTTGAAAGGATCTGTGGAGCCACCCTCTGGTAGAGGCAGTCAGAGCCTTTGAAAAGGGCATTTTTAATCCACGGGGACTTCTCGAGCTTGGCTGGACCTCCGTGGTGCCGTGTGGTGAGACCATCTATCACTCAGGCACTCAGCGAGCCCACATCGGCCCCCAAGAACCCTGATGAAGGTTTTCCTGCTCCACAGACAGACTTCGGGAGACGGAGACCCCAAAAGCGAGAGCTCCTTGAGGTCAAACAGGTGTTCAGGAGCAGGGACACAAGCAGGCCATCATCTTTTGGCGTGAGGTGGAGCAGAGGGATGAGATGGAGACGCAGGAGGCTGCTCGGCTCCAGAGCCTGCTCCATGGTGGAAGGTGGAGGCGAGTCCAGGGTCCCATGGTCAGTCCCCCTGCATGGCCCAGGAAGGTTTAATTCTTTTAAGGAGAAACACTGGACACTTTCTGATATTTTCGTGGTCGCCAGCTCAGGCCGACCCAAGTTCTTGCCTTCCGCCTCGGGAAGACAGGTGAGGGGGACGCCATCTTTGGTCTTCGGGCCCAGGTGCGAAGGTCGTTTGGCACCATCTCTCCTGCCTGCCAGATGTGGGCAGGGGCCGTCCGGTTCTTCCCCTTTGCTCTCTCGGCCTTTTCCCCTCCACCCGCAGGCCTTCCATAGCTTTTTGGACTGAGGCCCAGGGCCTCGCAGGGAATCACGAAGGAGCAGAAACTGCACGGTGTCTTCAGATCCGCGTGCCCGAGGTCACCGGGGAACAAAGAAGTTACTTATTTTTCCTTTTAGCTCAGCTGAAGAGAGAGGGCGTTGTCTTCCACAGAAAGACGCTGCGAACTCCGCCCCCGTCCCCCGTTTTCTTACAGCCCTTCCGTGCGGGTGCAGCTGTTTAAGGCCCCAAGTTTCCAGCACTTTGTGGAGTGCTGGAAGAACGTGAGCGTACGGGACAATCTGGGCCGGCGGGGCGCAGCGAGCCCCATCGCAACTGGAGGAGACCCGGGGTGTGTCTGTGTGTGTTTGCCCGTCGGTTGAAGGCCCCATCGCCCCCGGGCCGCCGCCCTGCCCCAGAAAGCGTTCCCCAAGAGAGCTGGGAGTCCTGCGCACCTGGAGCGCGCTCCGCGTCCACGCCCAGAGGGCGCTGCAAACTCGCGCTCGAGGACTGACTGCGGCCCCTTCACTCCCTCTCCCGGGCAGCGCCTCCGCACCCAGGGCCCGGGCAGAAGGGGGTGCGCCTCGGCCCCACTACCCAGGGATCAGCCGAGCTGAAAGGCCAGGAACCACGACTTGCGGGAACCACAGCTCCCGAAGGGGAGGTTCGGCCACCAGAGGAGCAGGAGCCGGGCGGGCAAGGACCCTAGTGGGCGGGGCGGGGGCGGGGCTAGGGCCGGGGGTGGGTGGTTCCGAAGGGGCCGAGAGGGGTGGCTCGGGGGGCGGGGTCCTGGGGGGTGTGGACTGGGGCTGGCCGGGAGACCTGGCGGAGCTGGGGGTGGGGGGCTAGTTTTTGCAACGGCTAAGGAAGGGCCTGTGGGTTTATTATAAGGCGGAGCTCGGCGGGAGAGGTGCGGGTCGAATCCGAGCCGAGCAGAGAGGAATCCGGCAGTAGGGAGCGGACTCCAGCCGGCGGACCCTGCAGCCCTCGCCTGGGACAGTGGCGCGCTGGGCAGGCGCCCAAGAGAGCATCGAGCAGCGCAACCCGCGAAGCCGGCCCGCAGCCGCGACCCGCGCAGCCTGCCGCGCTCTCGCCGCCGGTCCGGGCAGCATGAGGCGCGCGGCGCTCTGGCTCTGGCTGTGCGCGCTGGCGCTGAGCCTGCAGCCGGCCATGCCGGTGAGTGCGGCCGGCGGCCAGGCAGGGAGGCGGCGGGAAGCCGGGACTGGTCACCCGCTGATGCCGGCGGGTGCACGTGGAGGGGGAGGGGGAGCGGGGACTTCCCTTCTTCCCGCGCTAGCCCAGCGGGTCCCGGGACGGTGAGCCCCGAGACGAGGGCTCCAGCCCTAGTTTCCTCCGCTGTCGGTGGGCGCCTCACCGGTCCCGCGCTGGGGAGGGTGGGGGGCCGGGGCCCCGCGCTCAATTTTGTGAAACGTCTCCACATGCGTCGGAGCCCGCCAGCCCACAGCGGCGCCCGAGGGTCGCCCGCTCCCAGCCCCCTCACCCCGGCCACCGCGGCGGGTGGGTCCCCGTCGGTGACCCGGGGGGATGCAGTGACCGCGGCCACAACGCCCCTCCCGCAGGCCCTAATTCAAGCCAGACCCGCGGGCTTGCGCCCCAGCGCCGCCGAGCCCGGGCGCCCGGCCCCTTGCGCCGGGGCAAGTTTGGGCGCAGCGCAGCCGGCGCAGGAGCGGGCGGGCGGGCGGCCGCGTTGGCCCGGGGAGCCGGGCCAGGGCTGCGTGGGGGGCGCGGGCGAGCGTCTGCAGGGCCCTCGGGCTTGTAGTGGGCGGCTCGAGGTGAGTCGAGCCGGCCCGGCAGCGGGAGGTTCCGGGAAGTTGGCCTCGGAACGCTGGAGACCTGGAAGAGCCCAACTTCTGGGCTGCTGAAGTTGAGCTGGCCCCGGAGGGCGCGTTCCCGTGCCGGGCACGGCCGAGGCGCGGTCGCCTTCCACGCGAGGGGACCCGGGAATGGCCTCCCGCTTCCCGGCTCGGCTTTGTGCTGAAGCCGCGCGGAGGGAAGGCGGGTCCCTTGGCCCGCCCAGTGCAGCTAGGGGAAAAGAGGGGCAGATGTGGAGCTCAAGGCTGGAAGAGGCCTTTGGGTGGGATGCAGCATCCACCTTCAGCGAGGCTGAGGCTCCACCAAAGAGGGACGTGACCGACAAAGAGCAGCCTGAGGGTCCCCAGAAAGTGGCTCTCCCGTCCCAGCCGCCGGCCGCTAGCCCGCCTTCCCCAATGGGGGCGCTTTGTTCTCGGCCCCTGTAACCCTTTCCTGGGAACCGCCCCGTAACGCCGGCCTTGACGGGGGCTGGGACCTGGGCCGCAGCCAGGTGTCAGCGCGGGCCGCCCGGTGCCCGAGTCCGCCACCCGAGTCCGCCTCCCCAGCCCCCGCGCCCGGTGCTGGCGTCCCGGGGTCCCTCCTGCGGGCCGGCTCGGCCATCCCCCGGGCTGCAGAGGGGAGGTGCGGAGCCAGGGGCACTTCCCCTTCCGGAAGTGGCGGTCTCTCGCCACCACATCTGGAGAGCTCGACTTCCCCAGCTCTGGCAAAGGGAGGCACGTGGGCAGGCAAGGGGCGGGGGCGGGGTGGGCACTCGGGTCCTCCCCTGCTAATGTGACATCTGGATAAGTCTCAGCAGCGCTGACCCTCTGTAAGCGTTTCCTCTTGTAATAGCTGCCAGTTATTGAGCGCTTTGGTTTTTTGTTTTTTGTTTTTTTTTTAAGAGTCTGTCTCATGGGAGATGAGGTAGGGACAGTCGTTTTTGAGGCTGATGTGTAAAGCGACCTCCCTGCTTCCCAGGTGACTCGTGCTTCCAAACATTTTCCGGTCCAGGAGAGGTCCCTGTGCCTATTGAACTGTGAATGGGCTGGACTGTGAGGGGTATTTGGGAGCACGAGGAGAGCCGTGATTTCCGAGCTGGGTCTCATGCACTCCTGGCTTTCAGGTCCAAGAAGGTGCTCTCTAGGGTGGTGGTTTCTGTGGAGCTGAGACTGTGCTTGGAGTCTTCGCTCCGACTTTGGAGAAGAGAATGGAGCTGCGTAGCTTACCTCCCTGGACCGCCGGGCATCACCTCACTGCCCCATTCTCGCACATGATGGGGCCTCAGCAGGGGCGGCTGAAGTTGGGTCCTCCACCTATTTTCGGCTGGATTTAGGAGGGCTGCTGGTTCCCTTGCCTGCCTGGGGTAAAGCAGACATTCCAGAACCCTGGGATCCCACCGCACCCGTTAAGGCTGGGGAGGCAGGTGGAGTTTGGGATTCCCTGTGGACTACCTTTCCTGGAGTTTTCTGTGGGCTGGGGCAGATGCTGCAGTGTGAGACATTATTTCTTGCCCAGAAACTTGGACATAGGGCCCAGTAGGCAGGAGAGTCTCAAAAGGGGAAAGGAGGGAGACTCCCTGGAGCTACAGGGAAGGAAGGCTTCCTGGAGGAGGTGCTTGTGCTGAGCCTGAGAGCCTCACCCGCTTTGGGGTCAGACTCTGGCTTGAAGCTTAGGTGTTCTTTCTGCTTTTTCTGATCTTACAAAGTTTAGTTTGTTTTCTCTTTCCCAGTTCTGCCCTCTCCCTCTTACAGTGAGTGTCCATGTTAGGTTAAAGGTGGGGACATGCGGTGCCTTCCCAGAGCTCTGATACCCCTTTGCTAAAATAAATCAGGCAGCTGGGATTTGCTTAAGATGGGAGAAGATATCCGCAAGTGGCAGAGATCTGACCCTCTCTGAAAGTTAACTGTGGCCCCAGTGGGAAGCAGGTCAGAAACGCCCTGGGGACCAGGGAGGCAGGGAGTGACTGAATGGGTGAGGGGAGGCTGCTAGGAGAGGAGGTTGCTCAAAACCACTCCCAAGAGACTAAAACAGGTTTGTCTAAAAAGGTTTCTCTCTCTCTTTCTTTCTCCCTCTCTCTGTCTTTCTCTCTCTCTCTCTGCCTCTGTGTGTGTGTGTTTCCTGTGGTCTTTTGTTTCTGCCGTGTAAAAAAAATGGCTTGTTCTGGAATAGTTATTTGCTCTTTTTCTTTCTTTCTGTCTTCTCTTTCTTGAAAGGCATAAAATCCCTTTTGCCCTAATTACGGGGGCTAGCAGAGACATTTTCCCACAGCCTGGCAGAGAGGGTATGGGGGGAGGCACTAGCTGCCTCCGCTCAGGCTCAGAGCCTTCTAGAAGTGATGTCACCCCTGGCTTCAGCTCCACAGGGAGGGTGGAGCCTGTTTAAGTCTCTACCTGTGGCTCCTGATGGGTTCCAGTAAAACCTCATTAACACACATTGGTAGGGAGACAGTAAGAAAGGAGAGAGCCTGGAAAGAATTAATGAAAAGCTTGCCTTCTACAGTTTTTTAGAGGAATCTTTTCTGCTGCAGCAGAATTTTGGATTCCTGAAATCCCTTGGGAATGAGGTGTCCTGTGTATTCGTGTTTTTTCATCAAGCTAAGAATCCCTGTTACCCTCAAGTATTCTTACTCTGGGCAGGACTCTCTGAAATATTTATTTCCCTTCCTTTATCAACCAAAAAATGCTAGGCATGATTTAATCTTTGCATGCCAGGGTCGTCGTCCTCATCATTGTGCTGGGTTAGGACATTGTCTCCTGGATTTACTGTGCTCTGAAGAGCACTTTGCCCCTCTGCCTTGGTGCCTCAGGTTGCTCTGTTTTGAATTCTGGTCTCTCTTCTTTTTCCAGAGAACAGCCAGAAGTGACATTTATGTGCCTGAGTGTTGCCAGCAGCCTTTCTGATCAGTTCTAATTTGTTACTTTTCTCCAGTGGCACTAAGAAACTAATCAGATGGGTTAGGCTTATTTCCAAGCTGAGACTTTTAGACTCTGGGTAAGGGCCTTGCCTGTGAGTGAGACTAATGATCTGTGATACGTGGATTTTGTGCCATTTATGAACTTCAGCTGGGACCTGTTGCAGTCTCCCTTCTACCTCCCTGCACCCCACCTAGAGTAACAAAGAGGTGCTGCCCAGGTGAGGTCTTTAGCAACTTCTCTCAATGGAGAAAAATGAGTCATCTCTTGGGGGGAAGTGCTTGCTGACCCCCATGTTTCAAGTTCCTCGACCTGGTTTTACATGTAAGTGACTTGCTGGTCACAGGTAGCTGGACTGACCAGCTGAGGGCCATTATTCTTTAGCCTTGACTGCTACTCTCAGCCTTGGTCATGCCCCCATCTCTTTACCACATTTGATTTGGATTTTAGTTCCTGTTTCTATATAATATGCATCCATACTGTGTGACAGACCAGAAGTGGCTTTGGATTAAGTAGAGCCCCAGGACTGAGTCTCAGCTCTGCCACTAATTAACTCCGTAATCTGGGGTGAGTCACTTTCCTTCTAAGTCTTGTTGTCCTCATCTGTAAAGCGGACATCACGATACCTGTTCTCCCTGTCCTCATTCTGTCATTTGCGTATTCATTTCATAATGGATATGTGAAAGTACTCTGTGATGAAACTGCGTGAAGAAAGTAAGCTGTCGATACAATTAAGGTTACCTTTTTTTTGAGCGCCTGCTGTTCAGTGCTCAGTACTTTTCCTTCATTCTTATTTGAACTTTACCCCAAACCTTTACAATATATATCATTGCCCCATTTTGTGGATGAGGAAGCTGAGACCTAGGGTGGCGGGCCCCTCCAATGGCTGAGCCAGGATTTGTGTTTGTGTGTGTGTGTGTGCAGTGTGTGTGTGCGCGCATGTGTATGGATATGGTGTGAATACATCGCAAGGCTGTCAAGTCTCCCCTGAGAAGCCTGGCATTTGGGGGCTGGCTGAACCCTGCAAGGCTCTGCTGGGCATTTGCTGGTCCGTCCTGAAGAATCATGGGTGTGAGCGTTTTGGGCGGAGGGGCCCAGGCCGGGCTGAGCTGGCCTGAACAGTGCCATCAGGCAAACTGAGCACCAGGTAACATTCAGGAGTTGTGTTGGGTTCAACTGATAGCCGCTCAGGGACAGGCGAGAGCTCCTCACAGGAAGTAAACAGGGACCTGAGAGAGCAGAGTGGGAACCGTGTGGACTGGGTGTGGAGGGGCCTGTTTGGATGATGCCCTCAGGCCGGACCCCAGGTGGTACCCAGCTTGCACCATCTTTTACCTTGGGCTCTGGGGAAACATTCGTGGAATTAGCAGGTTCTTTTGTAAGCCTGGGAGGTGGGCAGCATGACGCAGGTGGTGACCAGAACCCAGGACTCCTAGCTCTGGTGCCACAGTC